ATTTTCCAACTGGATCTGCCAGCACAACACGCAATAAAACACTTGGGGACCCATTACCTGTGGAAAGAAGAGATGTCTGAAGCATCCTACCTCCACAAGGTGTCGTGGGAGGTAGTCACACAACCCAAACGACAGGGAGGCCTCTCCATCCTAGATTCGTTGTACCAAATTGGGGCATTGTTGTCCCGATGGGTGCCATGGGCGATCTTGGCAGACCCTTTCTCACCGGGGAGACCGTTGGCCGAATTTGCTCTTCTCGATGGTTGGGATTGGAGGACACTGCGTTGTATTTGGTTAGCAGCCCTCCATCCAGGGTACATTCGTAAGCGCCTACCGTGAGGAATATGGTCTGGGATTTTGAGGGAGTGGCGACGCTGCTGTCCTCAACTTCTCCCCTCGCCCAAGTTGGCAGATAGGATATTGACACAACCGCTGTTCGACAACCCGCTCATTCTTACCATGGACGGTTCCCCTTCCCCTGTTCGGAGGAGGAGCCTTTGGCGATTCTTGGATGAGCAGAGGGATTGGAACGGTGGTAGATATTTGGGATGTAGACAGAAGGGACTGGAAACCTTTGACCGACCTGGCCCTGTGGTTGACGGGCCTCTGGCATCAAACATTCCATCTTCAAGCCCTTCACCAAGCAATCCCTCCGGAGTGGGTAACCATTCTTCGATCCGGGATTGTTCTTTCACAAGGTGGATGGTTTAAGAGAACGCAGGATCATTCTCCCTCGCTTCTGTGGAAAATTGAATCGATTGCAGACCCGCAAAATGTGCAAACCTCATGCTGGGAGACATCTCCACTGACTGCGACTACATCGCAAGGACCACCGCTGATTCGGGCACAATTGGAGACACCGCTCCCACCTTTGACTGAACTGCTGCCTGTGTGTGTACTGGAATATCCAGACTATGACTCTGTTCGCCCCTTCTCTTTACCTACTCCATCGTACAAACTGTCGGTGGACCCTAGGAACTGGCATTGGCCACCAGGACCTTCGAATAAAGACAGTGTTCCGTTATATAGATACACCACACGTATGGGCTACCAGATCTCTCGCCCGAAAGTGGATGTCAATTGGAATGTCACGAAAAGATGGATGTTGACAGGGTGGATACATGACACCCATACGAGACTACTTCGAGCTCTGCCAGCGTATTGGAAACTGTTGATGGAACTGCCATTGGTCAAGCAAGCAAGCTTTTTGTGGCCATTGATGCATATGGCTGTGCCCACTGCTTTTTGGTTTGCCAAAAGAACATCGAAGGCCTCTCCCCTCTGTGTCTTGTGCCCCGGAGCCCGGATTGAAGACGTGGAACATTTTTGTACCCACTGTGACCTGTTGAGACCCCTGTGGATTTGGTAGCGTTCAGGAATGGTCCCAATCCCGCAACCGAAAACACGCTGGAACGATGATTTCATTCTTTTGGGTGCTGCGTCTCGTAGACAGCATCGTGGCACTCCTTTAACATATGCGGAGGAGTGTTTACGTAGAGCTGTGCTTTGGACCCTGTGGACTCTCAGAAACTCGGCTGTATGAAGGGGGGGAAAGTTCACACCCATGATGGTTCGTGCAAAAATCAAGTATTTCATCAAACAGATATTGTCAACCGAATGGTAGCTTAAAGTTGTAAACAAAGGGGCTCGTTAGACACTCCTCGGGGCGTCCTCGGGCTCCGAGGGGAAATCCTCGGGGCAGCCCGAGGATTTTCCCGCATTCGTTCCACTCGTCCCTCGGGACGATCCCTGAGGATGCTCCGAGGACTGGCCGCGGGGAGTCGTATAATGTTATACGTGGCCGCGGGACGAGTGTTTAGGCGGTGGTCCTTCGTGTGGTGTCCATCTGGCTGGACTTGGTCCACCGCGTATGGGCGGCAAATTTGAAAAGGGATTGCCGCCGCCGCGGGAAAAGGAAAATTGCGGCAGGGCGGGGAGATGCGTGCGTGCGACGGCCCCATCGGGGAAGCACAGGGGTGTTGCAGTGGGCGTCATGCGGAAACGGCCAATGGCCGTTTGGGTGTCAGCACAGACGTCGCCACGTATTAGAAGACGTGACGCACCCTGGCTACGACAGCAGCAGTGAGTGCCACCGCCGTCTTGCGTGTTCGCTTTCGCGCATTCTGCCCCGAACGCCATCTCCGCGAACTTCTTCATTGCCAGTGTCCATTGGTGGCGGCCTTGTGTGGTCGTTTGGGCGACTTCTGGTGGCGTGGATGAGTGCGATGTCTTCCGTGGTCGATATGCTTTTGGTCGGTGGCGGGGATGAGGGCGGGCCAAGGTTGTCCGCTTTGGAGAGGGCTGCAGTGACGTCCGCCGTCATCATGCATTGCGAGACGGAGGTCGAAGGCGAACGACGGTGGGCACGGCTACGCGCTCGAAGAAGGAAGGCGATGCAGCCGCCGACGTGTGAAGGGTTGGATAGCATCGCCATCTGTGACGCCGTCTTTGAGGTATGCTGCGCACCGGGGTGTGGGGGACTGTCGAGGGCGACCCCGAGGTGGTGGGTGAAACGAAGGACGGGGGGGACCTGGGAGGATCTTCGGCCTGCAAACGATGCCACTGAAGACTACTTCCGCGACAAATTACGGATGTCTCCACGTGTCTTCCGTGAGATTGTTGAGAACTTGACGCCGATTCTCGAGCCATGTGTGACGTTCTACAGAGAGCCTTTGCAGCCAGACCACATCATCGCCTAGGCGCTTTACAGATGGGCGTCTAGCGAGACATACGAGAGCAGCACCTGCAGCTTTGGAATTGGCAGGGCTTCGGGTTTGGTGGCCGTCCGGGACGTCACAGCTGCGCTGCTTTCAATGTACAGGGAGAAGGTGGCATGGCCGACTGGGGTGCGGAAGGCGGTTGTTCTGCGTGCTTTTGCAGACAAGGGTTTCCTGAACTGTCATGGGTGCATCGATTGCACCCATATCTACATCGACAAGCCGACAAACGCGGCTCCAGAAGACTACTATGACCGCAAGAGACGATTCTCTGTCGTCGCTCAAGTTGTGGTGGATTTGGACTTGTGCGTCCTCGATGTGTTCGTGGGTTATCCGGGGAGCTGCCACGACGTCAGGGTCATCCATCTGTCTAGTCTTTGGTCGCGTGCGGCGGCGGGCGAGTTGTTCACAGGGCCTCCTGTGTTGCTGCCGTTCCAAGTGCATACCAATGGTTATCTGCTGGCCGACAATGGTTACCCGCTGAGCGAATGGATGGTTGTCCCCTATGGCGCCACGGCGCAGACTCCGTTCGAGGCCCGTTTCGACAACAAACAGAAGACGGCGAGGGGGGCGGTGGAGAGGGCCTTCGGGAGACTGAAGGGAATGTGGCGGTTGTTCCTTGGGTCGCACAAGACAAACATGGAGACCTTGCCGCAACAGTTCGTGGTCGTCTGCATCTTGCTCAACATCCTCATCGACGCCGGGATCCCTTTCAATGAGAACTTGTTGTGGGAGGTAGACGCCAACGAGTTCGCCGTCGAGTGGATCTTGGGATCCAGCGCCCACCCAGGCCTTTGTGCATGGAAACTTCTACGGGGGAAGCGGTCATGCTGCGTGAAGCGCTGGCGGAGCGAATGATGCAGCGATGAGAGATGTCGGCGGAGCGGAGCGGAAGTAGATGTAAGCTGCGTACGTGGAAGGGCGTTTGACGTTGGCAGTAGAAGGAAGCAGCGTGCGGAGAGACGAAGGAGACAGTAGATCGTGTGATGCTGTCGAAGTCATCGTCGTCATTGTCGGACGAAGACCGGAGAACGTCTGTGTAGTCTAGTACTCCCCCTCCAGTGTGTCCTCCACATTCAGATTGTTGACGAGTGTTTTTTTTTTTTTTTTTTTTTTCGATTCGTGCTTTCACATTGACGCGTTAATAGTGCTTTATCCCTAGTTTATGCGCAAGCCATAGGGCGGCAAATGTGGTGGTGGCGGTCGATTACTGTTGTCTGTGAACCGCATGGATGCGGGATTCGGGTATGTGGTGTGCGACAGAAGCATGCATGCGTCCGGGTTCCTTTTCCCCGATTTTCGAAGCGCAGTACTGCGCACAGTGTACTTTTTATTTGTTTACAAGGGTTTGATGATTATTGTTTTCTGTTCGCCAAGTTTTATTGCTTGTCGTGGACTATTTTCTTCCCTTTCATGTGCCCTGCGTGCCAGGATGAGGGCGCACTTACGTGCGTGATGATGTGAATGACTGCAAGCCATTGATGATAGCATTCATTTGAGTTCACATATGTCCATGGTCCAAATGTTGGAGTGCATATTTTCTGTTGCCAATCATTTGTCTTCATCTTCATAAAAGTGTTGTGAATGGTTGAACGATGAGTGCGCGACAAAGAAGGCGACTGAGTGAAAACGTTAATCTCTCACGCAGAATTCATTCACCTTATCACCCACAACTTTACATGGAAGCTTTGCAATCGGAAATAACAAACACTGCGATATAAAATAAACGGTCGCCATAGCACACGATATAAAAAAACCATCAATGATGCGCATAGACATGATGGACGTTAATGACACCGCACACTCGACGATGATTGGCCCCTTCAATGAAAAGACGTGCATGTCGACTACACTTTGTTGTCAGCTATATGAAACCGAGCTCTCACCCGTACTCGGCAACCGCTTTAACAACAGGAAACGACTCAACGCAAAGGAAGTAGAAGACAGTCTACGAAACTCGTGCAACCGCTATTCACACGCCATGCCAACTCCTGTCCCCATCATCATCGACGACATCATCGTCGTCGCCACTATCGTCGTCATCACCATCACCACCTTAGTCATCATCATCGTCATCATCATGATCATCATCTTTAATCTTGCACATCGTTATCATCATTTTCATCATCATCATTATCTTCATCATCACCATCATCATTGTCACCATCATCATGAACATCGTCTTCATCATCATCGTTGTCGTCACCGTCATCATCATCGTCACCGTTATCATCATCATCATCAACGTCATCATCGTCGACATCATCGTCGTCATCAGCAGCAGCGGCGGGTGGCTATGCGGGGTCACCTCCTGTCGTCGTCCACAACGCCTGCCGTCACGATTCCCCGCCTTCGTCCTTCTCCTCGTCTTCATCATCGATCTCCGGAGGTCCGGTGCCTAACCAATCTAGTCGTCTGGCGAGCTCAGGAGACGTCAACGTGGCGTCGTTGTGGAACGACACCCCACACGAAACCCAGTCGGGGATGTACACTGGAGGGTCGACCAACGTCATGGGGGGCTTCCCCATTTTCTCCGTTACTGCATTGACACACCGCAGAACATGGCGGCGCGCGTCGAACGAACGATGCAGCGACGCAATGAGCGTCGGTTTCGCAATGAGCTCCACGAGATGGGACGCCTCATAATGCGAACGGAGATTATCTCCCGCCATCCGCATGATCCACATGGCGGCAGACAGCAAAAGGCGCATGCAGTCTGCCACGTTCCTCAGCCTCTCGTACGATATCCGCCCGCCGTCTACCCCCTCCCCCGTGTCAACAGCATTCGTGAAAGCTCCCACCAGACGCTGCGTTGTGGACTCCTGATACGACGCCATTTCGTCGTCCTCGTGCCTGTCGTGTATGACGCCACCTACGTACCAGATGGGGAGCTTCATATGAAGCTCCAAGGTGTTATGGACGACCGCCGGACTCACACATACCCGCCAGTCCTCTCCAAACCAGATGGCGCGGGCGAGGTCTGTGGCGACGTGGTTCAACACATAGCCGTAAGAGCAGTGGTACCCGCGCGCACGATTGGGGGACTTGAAGATCCACCCATGGATGATGCGCAACGCTATGGTCTGCACCCTCGGAGTCCTCTCCTTCGCGGGCCCCAACTTCGACACGTCTTCCAGCTTCTGCTGAGGGATCGTGACGTTCGGGAGGACAACGCTTTTTCTGATCTCCGGCGGTTTCACACCCTTCGCGATGGCAATGAGGTGCAGGCGCGTCTCCTGGATGATCTTGAACATCCCATGCCCCTCCGTCTCGTTCCAGAAACGCAGATCGTCCACCCACAGTTTCGCTTTCGCCTCCAGAGCCGCCATGTTTCTGGATCGCCTCTGCCTGTTAATGAGGGGATCGTCGTCATCAGCATCATCACGACCGTCGCCACCGCCCCCCCCTGCGCATGTCGTCGATGTACCAACAACGGCTCCCACCGCTGCGGCTTCCTTTGCGGGAATGTGCGTCGCAAGCTGCCCCCTTACTGCCGCATTCACCCCCGCCCCTTCATCCCTTCTCGCCTGTCCCACCGTGGGCGTCGCTGGGTTAGAAGGCGCCCGCATTGGCGGGTGTTTACCGACGTCCTGGGCTGCCTGCACGTCCTTCGACGGCACGGAGCCGCGCATGCCAGGGGTCGTCGGCTGGCCACGCTCCTCCCTGGCAGCAACACCGCCTCCCACGTCGCCGGCCCCCTCACCCTTGCCTCGCGCAACCCCGTGATCCCATCTTTACCACCGTCGACGCCTTCCTCTCCGCTCACCATTCTCGCGTTCGACACTTCATGCAAGGTCCCTTTCCTCCTATGAAACGTGTCCGCCTCCAATTCGAAATCGTCGTCCTATCCGCTGCTGGCCTCGGTAACCCACTCTTCCCGCGTGGACCTCCCGATCACCAGAGCACCGCCGCTTGATGCCTTGGGCTTCTTCGCCTGATGCCTCCCCCGCTTCACGATGCCGGCAGCTTCCATTTTCTGGGAGTCCCTCTCCCTTTTCCCCTTGCCAGAGTTGCGAGTATTCGTCATCGCCGAGAAGACAAACAACGATGATGGCGAGTACGAAAAGATGACAACCACACGGCTGCCACAACGATGACTGACCGAACGGGGAGAAAGACGACCGGTCGAGAAGAAGGAAGGGCGAGAACGATGGCGGCGAGGGAAAGCCTGCGCAGGTGGAGTCCAAGCATGAATACGACGTCTGGCGAGAAAGATGGCGGCGAGACACACAGTGCGCGAACAAGAGTCCCAACGTGAAGATGACGTCTGTTGAGAACGATGGCGGCGAGACACACAGTGCGCAAACAGGAGTCCCAACGTGAAAATGACGTCAGGCGAGAACGATGGCGGCGAGACACACAGTGCGCGAACAGGAGTCCCAACGTGGAGATGACGTCTGGCGAGATAGATGGTGGCGACACACACAGTGCGCGAACAAGAGTCCCAACGTGAAGATGACGTCTGGCGAGATGGCGGCGAGACGAACAGTGCGCGAACAGGAGCCCCAACGTGAAGATGATGTCTGGTGAGACAGATGGCGGCGAGACGAACAGTGCTCAAACAGGAGCCCCAACGTGAAGATGACGTCTGGCGAGATAGATGGCGGCAAGGCGAACAGTGCGCGAAAAGGAGTCCCAACATGAAGATGACATCTGGCAAGAGAGATGGCGGCGAGACACACAGTGAGCGAAAAGGAGTCCCAACGTGAAGATGACGTCGGGACTGCGCGATGGCGGCGACAAAGGCAGTGCACGATGAGGAGTCTGAACGCGAAGATGTCGTCTGGCCACCGCCTGCGTGGACAGGTCATATCGTGTTCGTGGCAAATGTTCGTCACGCGCCGGCGACAGTGCACAGGTTGGCTACAGGGTGAACGGAATGGCAGAGGGACCATTCCATTTGCAACCCCCTTTTCCGACACACGGACGGTGGGTATGCGGCATTCCGCCAATCAGACCCCCCAAAAAAAACGAACACTGCATGTGTCGCCGCCCGAAAAAAAAAAATTATGCAGTGAAGGGACTGGCCGTGTCATAGGAGTCTGATACACACGCCTAAACAGAAAAAATAAATAAATAAAGGGAAGTCCAACATACAAATTGAATTTCAAACTTCGAAACTTTTTCGAGGGAGATGTTAAATGGCGTGACATAAATGGCAACACCGTTGATTAAAAAAATGTTCATTCAATACGACACAATAAACGAAAGACGTGGTGCCCAGAGACACGTGTTTACTGCAAGGAAAGCAAATATCATGCAGTGAAGAGAGCCAAGAAAACGTCCACATCATAACAGCCTACCATATCGCAAATCAAATCTCTCTCTCTCTCTCTCTCTCTCTCTCTCTCTCTCTCTCTCTCTCTCTCTCTCTCTCTCTCTCTCTCTC